CCCTCCGACAAATTTCCCACCCCCTTGTGACCCACCCCCTGCCGTCGCGAAAACGTGACGGGCAAAAGTGAGGAGATTTCGAAAAGAGTGGCACGCTCTCTCGTACCTGGCGCCCAACTTAGTAATAAGAATTACAATTTTGGCCGAAAAACCGCCTGGCTGTCGCAAAATTCAGTTACCGAGGGAGAGAAGATACTTTTGCGTACGAAGAGTACGAAGAACACACGACGAAGTTGTGCCGTTGCTCGCGAGTACGGTTACAGTACATAGATTTTAACATTTATTAGATTTCACGGTACATGATTCACGCTGGCCGATTGAAAGATAACGGAATTGAAAGAAATACTGTTTTATTGAGACAAATCAAGAAAAATAGTAACAATTATAAATGTATTATTATCAAATGTGATATAAACTGATCAAAGCTGATCACAGCCCTGTGAAAAAGTGTACCTCAGAGAACTAAATTAAGAATATTGCACCAGCGCACTCTTCAGGTGCAACCTATCACTGTCATCGTGTAATAGTTCCTCCATGGGAGTTTCCGATCCCTGATCCGTATGTCAAAATGGTCGTAGAGATGAGAGAGAGGGACCGTGGCAGACGGCCATTTCTATCTCTTTCCATTCAATGGTGTAATGGGAGAAAGAATGAGAGGGAAATTGGCCGTCTCCCATGGTCCCTCTCTCTCATTATTGTCGACCACATTTGGTATACTACTTATATACGGATCGCGCAGTCCATTATCTATGTCTTTGACATGAATGGTATATAAACATAATGTCACTTCAATTATTTTTATCTATGAAATGAAAGGCCCTTTTTACTTCTCTGCCCACACCCAGGCACACAGCACTTCATGTTGATGCTTTGTAGACAGTCGCGCGATTTTATAATCCTTCAAATATAACCTCACACACGATAATCTTGCTGACATATGCGTCTTACTTCTTCTTCGCGTGAGAATATACAGAATACGAAAGTTTAAAAGAGTAACATAAACTCAATTGCGCGTTTGAAGCCGGTCACACTTTCCAAAAATGATAACGCAATAACATGTCCGACCACATCGGTAGACGATCATCGTCTCATATGCCTAGGCCGGTATTCATAGTCGAGTCTTATAGACCTTCTACAATAAGCCATTAGTCATAAATCAGAAGTCAGAAGTTAAAAAATGACGACTGTGATTGGTCAATTTTTGGTTTCTCACTTCTGATTTATGACTAATGGCTTATTGTAGAAAGCCCTTTATTTCAAGACCGTTTTAAGTAATGTCTTAAGATGCTAATGCAGCCTTCTGATTGGTTCGTGACTTCTTAAGACCGTACTTAAGACGATCTTGAATATAAGATCTAACTATGAATACTGGCCCTAATGCCATATACGACTTAGGGTGCTGTCCCATGACAGTCGGATTTCGGAAAACGGAATCTCGGAAAAGTACTAAACCGGAAAATACTAGACTAGAATCAGAAGACACAGCAGTGTCTTGGCAAGTTTGCACGCGCAGTGATATACGCGTTGTGTTCGTTATAGTTCGTTAAGGTTAAAAATTAATAATTATTAATAAAATAATTATTAATAAATAATTTTTCGGTAAATATTGATTAATATATAAGTATTTATTGTTTCCATTATATATATGATTATTGTTGGAGATATACAAAATTGCGTGCTTGTCTGCTTGTCGGTCCGAAATTTTCGTGACTCGGTTTCCCATGAACCAATTTTTCCGGAATTGTGAAAATCGGAAAATTTATTTTGAATATTTTATGAAAAAAGGTAATTACGATATAGTAGAAGAATCTGTAAGAAAATAAAATTCCGATGTACTTTTTATTGTAACAGAAGATAATGAATGAAATTTTTTAATTAAAAGTTGGTTTCAGGTTAGAATAATAGTTCGTTTTCCGAAAAAGTCACTCCATGGGAAACTCGGTAATCAAAAAGTCGGAACATAAAAAGAGTGATCATAGTAATTAAAAATTTAGATAATTTTTAATAAAATTGACTTTTGAAATAAAATTTATCTTTTTCTATTATAAGTTAAGTGATAGGAACATGATGATATTTTAATTTTTCTTGAAACTATTTAAATAAAATGTTGTTTTAATTTATATATATTAATTCATTCTTTATTCAAAAAATTTGAACGAAAAGAAAAAGAAATTCGCTCGCTGTTACAATTAATAAAACTTACAAAAATTATAGGATTGAAATTAACTTAGAATTAAATTATCCCCAACAATAATCATATATACGTATAAAGCAAACAATAAATACTTATATATTAATCAATATTTACCGAAAAATTATTTATTAATAATTATTTTATTAACAATTATTAATTTTTAACGTAATGAATTATAACGAACACAACGTGTATATCACTGCGTGTGCTAACTGCCGTGGCCCGTATTCAGAACGCGCTTTTATCGATAAAAGCGCACTTTTATCTCTGAAATTCTATAATATGCGTGACGTAAAGTATAGTATGTTAGCGTGCTAACATCGTTGTAAGCGCGTTCTCAATACGGGCCCGTGTCTTCTGGGTATCAATCATGAAACTTTATCCCTAGGATGGAAAGTGAAAAGTGAAAATTATAACCATTGAAGTTAATGGAGAAATTTTTCATTGTTCACTTTTCATCTTAGGAAAAAAGTTTCATGATTGATCCCCTGATTCTAGTCTAGTACTTTCCGATCTAGTACTTTTCCGAGATTCCGTTTTCCGAAATCCGACCCTTAGGGTGCTGTCCCATGATAGTCGGATTTCGGAAAACGGAATCTCGGAAAAGTACTAGACCGGAAAATACTAGACTAGAATCGGAAGACACGGCAGTGTCTTGGCAGCCCACATAGAAATTGATATCCAGTGGATGTCCATCAAACTTCCATAGCTCCATGGGACGTCTAAATCCATTGCGGAAGTCGGATAGACCTCCAATGGACCTCCACCTTACCTCCGCGAATCCATGAGAAATCATTTCCACGAAGGAAGTCAGATAGGTCTCCATTAGACAACCATCCGATCTCCATGGCTCCACGAGATTTCATTTCCACGTTGAAAATCAGGTGGATCTCTATTAGACATCCATCCTACCCCCATGGCTCCACGAGATTTTATTTCCAGGTTGGAAATCAGGTAGATCTCCATTGGACATCCATCCTACCTCCATGATTCCATGAGATTTTATTTACACGTAAGAAATCAGGTGGATCTCTACTAGACATCCATCCTACCACCATGGCTCCACCAGATTTTATTTCCATGTTGGAAATCAAGTAGATCTCCATTGGACATCCTACCTCCATGATTCTACGAGATTTCATTTCCACGTTGGAAATCAGGTGGATCTCTATTAGACATGCATCCGACCCCCATGGATCCACGAGATTTTATTTCCAGGTTGGAAATCAGGTAGATCTCCATTGGACATCCATCCTACCTCCATGATTCCACGAGATTTTATTTCCACGTAGGAAATCAGGTGGATCTCTACTAGACATCCATCCTACCACCATGGCTCCACCAGATTTTATTTCCATGTTGGAAATCAGGTAGATCTCCATTGGACATCCATCGTACCTCCATGATTCTACGAGATTTTATTTCCACGTAGGAAATCAGGTGGATCTCTACTAGACATCCTACTTCCATGACTTCACGAGATTTTATTTCCACGTTGGAAATCTTATGGATCTCTATTAGACATTCATTCTACTTCTATGACTCCACGTGATTTTTTGTCCGTATAAGAAGTCAGAGGGTGACACCCAGTTGGACACGCCTTAATTGGACACGGGCCACTCACAGCGCTTGAGACTACAAATCTCCTAGGCACCTGTCGCTGTGATTGGTGGTGTCCAATCGAGCCGTGAGCAATCGGAATCACTCAGTGGATCTCTATTAAGCATCCATCCTACCAACATGGCTCCACGGGATGTTATTTCCACGTTGGAAGTCAGGTAGATCTCCATTGGACATCCATCCTACCTCCATGATTCCATGAGATTTAATTTCCACGTAGGAAATCAGGTGGATCTCTACTAGACATCCATCCTACCACCATGGCTCCACTAGATTTTATTTCAATGTTGGAAATCAGGTAGATCTCCATTGGACATCTATCCTACCTCTATGATTCCACGAGATTTTATTTCCACGTAGAAAATCAGGTGGATCTCTACTAGACATCCATCCTACTTCCATGACTCTACGAGATTTTTTTTCCATGTTCGAAGGTAGATAGATCTCTATTAGACATCCATAATTCCACGTTGGAAATCAGGTGGATTTCTATTAAATATCCATCTTACCTCTATGGCCGCACGAGATTTTATTTCCACGTTGGAAATTATGTGGATCTCTATTAGACATTCATCCTACTTCCATGACTCTACGAGATTTTTTTTCCATGTTCGAAGGTAGATAGATCTCTATTAGACATCCATAATTCCACGTTGGAAATCAGGTGGATTTCTATTAAATATCCATCTTACCTCTATGGCCGCACGAGATTTTATTTCCACGTTGGAAATTATGTGGATCTCTATTAGACATTCATCCTACTTCCATGACTCTACGAGATTTTTTTTCCATGTTCGAAGGTAGATAGATCTCTATTAGACATCCATAATTCCACGTTGGAAATCAGGTGGATTTCTATTAAATATCCATCTTACCTCTATGGCCGCACGAGATTTTATTTCCACGTTGGAAATTATGTGGATCTCTATTAGACATTCATCCTACTTCCATGACTCCACGAGATTTTTTTTCCATGTTGGAAGTTAGATAGATCTCTATTAGATATACATCCTACCTTCATGATTCCACGAGATTTTATTTCCACGTTGGAAATCAGGTGGATCTCTATTAGACATTCATCCTACTTTCATGACTGTACGAGATTTTTTTTCCGTGTTGGAAGGTAGATAGATCTCTATTAGACATCCATCCTACCTCCATGATTCCACGAAATTTTATTTCCACGTTGGAGGTCAGGTAGATCGCCATTGGACGTCCATCCTACCTCCATGATTCCACGAAATTTTATTTCCACGTTGGAAATCGGGTGGATCTCTATTAGACATCCATCCTACCACGATGGCTCCACGAGATTTTATTTCCATGTTGGAAATCATGTAAATCTCCATTGGACATCCATCCTACCTCCATGATTCCACGTGATTTTATTTCCACTTTGGAAATCATATGGATCTCTATTAGACATTCATTCTACTTCCATGACTCCACGTGATTTTTTTTCCATATTGGAAATCAGATAGATCTCTATTAGACATCCATCCTACCTCCATGATTCCACGAGATTTTATTTGCACGTTGGAAATCAGGTGGATCTCTATTAGACGTCCATCCTACTTCCATGACTCCACGAGATTTTTTTTTCATATTGGAAGTCAGATAAATCTCTATTATACATCCATCCTACCTCCATGATTCCACGAGATTTTATTTCTACGTTGGAAATCATGTGGATCTTTATTAGATATCCATCCTACTTCTATGGCTGTAGAAGATTTTATTTTCACGTTGGAAATCGGATAGACCTTCATTAGACATCCATCCTACCTCCATGACTCCATGAGATTTTATTTCCACGATGGAAATCGGATAGATCTCTACTAGATCTCCATAATATAGCCTATTAATTAGTTATTAACGACATATTACATATCTATATTTATGTATAATCGCGTATTTTTAAAAGTCTAATATTAAAGTTTTATAATTAATTCATAGTTTTCTGCTAATATGCATATATGCTTAAACATGTTTATATTAAGAAGTTATATTCTTATATTATAAATTTAATTTTTACAACTGTACATTCTATAGAAACAGTATTGTCAAACAATAATGAACTAAAATAGTAACCTATATAGGACCTCCCAAGTGATATACGTAACTACAAAGCGAATAAGATAATAGTTTTAAACGGTGCTGAGTCATAGTGCTTGAATGTCATATACATTTAAATGTTGTACACGTTTAATTCTGCCAACTGCGCGTCGAAAATATTTTTCAGTCCTAAACGCAATCCTAACGAAACATTACTTGAAATATTTAATTCGTGATATTAATGTCGTTCTGTTAAACTTGTGTTTAAGCTAAAATATAATATCGGCACACAGAAGTTGAAATTGAGCTTATATGCAATCATTCAAATAATTTGCCGCTTTACAGAAATAAAAGTGCACACTTTCAAAAGTAATTTTTTAGTCTTATAAAATTAAAAGTTATTTAAATGATTAATAAAGCTCGATTTTAATTCTTTTAAAGTAACTTTATATTTTACATGAATTAAACAGAACTAAATAGAGTTATGGTGCTTTGTTAGACAGTAAGCTGTAACGTTAACTGATGTTATTCTTCTTCTTAGTTATGTTCGAAATCCTTAGCGATTAACGATAGTGAATATTGACACGTATCTATCTACGCTTACGAAAGTTTTTTCGTTCTGGGACCGAGGAGAGGCATATATTATCGGAATACAAATTTAGTTCTTTGAGGCAACTAGGCCATATATTAACATTAAATCATTGACGGTCTCAAGAATTCGCAACACTATCGACCCTGAGGGTGGAGTCCCATGAAGCGTATTTGCCGCGTATCGCGTAACCGCGTAACCAATCAATAATCAGTAAAACGCGAAACCACAACAGCGGATCGCTTCTTATTGGTTACGCGGTTACGCGATACGCGGTAAATACACCTCATGGGACTCCAGCCTGACTGATAAGAGGTTCGCGTACCTCGTGGTCCGAATAGTAAATATCGCAACGGTCACGGAATGTTCACTTCGTTTGCTCGAATCCTCCGTTTATACAATTCGCTCGTGCGTACGCAACATATATTACAGTTCGCGTGTATCGCGTTGCGCTTCCGAGTGCTTGATGTTCTCGAGTGTGAAAGACGTCGCGGGAAGGAAGAGATACGTATCTGGTAGTCCTTGCGTTACTCCGGAATGGCCGCCTCAGTCGCGTCAACCACGTCAGCAGTGCGTGCCTCCATCCATACAGAAGTTCTCCAATCTGATCCAGCATGCCCCAATATCCGGTCAGTCAGGGGTGAGGTCTCGGGATACTTGGCTTGACCCCTCGTGCTCCGGATCGGGTCGTTCAGGTCTGCAACGGCTGAACCAGACTTTACCGGCGCTACTTCCTCTTTTGTACTCCGGAGCCGAATTCTGGAGCGTGACTTCTCTCTCTTCCTTTTCATTTTTCTTCCTCTTTATACTCCTCCCCGCTCGCGTTCCCTCGGCCAGGACTCTCTTCTCCTTCCACTCATTCATTCAGCGCTCCTCGTTTCGCGCTTCTAAACCTTTTCGCACTTTCTCACATCCTTATCGGCCATCCACTCGCGCACCATACTCTCACGCATATTACCATCATATCACGCTACAAAACAATGAAGAGTTCATGGAGGACGGCTTGGTAAAGGTTGTAGTTGTAAAAGAAAAATCGCAAAGATATTGTGGAAAACTTTGTATTTATTAAAAACATTACGGAATAACAGTGTAATATAAACTTAACATAATATTTAAAAAAACAGGATACACCTCCATACATCAAATGTGGTCGACAATAATGAGAGAGAGTGGGAGACGACCAATCTCCCTCTCATTCTCTCTCCCATTACATCATTGAATGGAAAGAGATAGAAATGGCCGTCTGCCATGGTCACTCTCTTTCATCCCTATCGATCATTTTGACACACAGATCGCGCAGTCCATTCTCTATGTCTTTGACTCTACCCGATTGCGAGTAAATGGTCTGTTCTGTTAACCTCAAGAACATAAGAGCTAAATTATGCAAGAAATGCAGCTAAAAAGAACAAACCGTGGACTCGGGGTCGGGTCGAATCAGTAAATCGAACAGGCTATAAGACGGTTTAAATTGAGAACAGGGCCCCTATTCTTGAAAATGATGATATACGTAAAACTAAGGAAATACTATAGTATACGTTACGTACACTATAGCATTTCCCTAGTTTATGGTACGCGATACTTTTCAAGAATAGGGGCCCAGATTGTGAACACCAACTCCATCAATCCGTATAAGTTGTAGACATGAATATCTGAAACACATTTAAAAATTATGGAAATACCATCGTATAATCATAATGGTCCTGACACGATGAACGTAATAAAGGAACGGTTCAATACGTTGAATAAGGAGCATTTTCTATAAAGTTCATTATGCAATGTATTGAACTGTTTATTATTCCATTCGTTGTGTCTGATCTTTAATTCTGCCGCACATACCAATGCTAAAGAGAATTTTAGTCT